GCTGCTCACGGAGGGTGTGGTTCTGCTCCATGATAACGCGCGTCCACACGTCTCCAGAGTCACACAAATCGAACTGGACAAGTTCCAATGGGAGACGTTGGACCATCCGTCCTACAGTCCGGACATGTCACCCTGCGATTTCCATGTGTTTGGTCCACTGAAGAAACACCTGAAAGGAAAGCGCTTCAACTCGGACGACGTACTCAAGGACACTGTGAAGGACTGGGTCTCGTCACAGCCACAGGAATTCTGGGAACAAGGAATCCTGCGGCTTGTTCATCAGTGGGATCGTTGTGCTCAGGCCTATGGTGTATATTTTGAATAAAGTCTATATTTGTACCCACCGTGTCGTTTCGTACCTTTTCATTTGGTCACCCCTTGTATAATAGTCAGAAGTAACACGCCAAAATATCTGTTACAATTGTAGTATACAGTTAAGCAGAGATCAATTTCTATACTTGAAATAAATATTCTGTCTAAGAACCAGCCTAAAAATTAGGCTTCTTCTACAATTATGAGGAGGTCTTAGGATTGAATATGAGGAGAGAGAGAGAGTCCAGTTCGGGGAACTGGTTTCACGTCAGCTAAAAATAGCATCAGCAGTCAGGGAGTGGGGCAAAAAAACGCATAAAAACGTGCTTAATAATTTTAAAAAATAGAAATAATTATATATAAGAGATGATTGAAGAAAAATTAGAAATAACGAAAAACGAATAGCAGTAGTGCATGAGAAAAAAATCATACTTCTAAATTATGTTCAATTCAGAAGAAAAAATATTTAATATTACATTAAAAAATGTATAATTTATCATTAGATTTTGTAAAATGTGATACATTCTATCATTTTACAATCATACAAGATTGTGTCATGATACGATCTATGACACAATCTTCACATTGAACATAAAACAGCACGATCATAGCTATTATTACCACAGATCGTGTTTAAAAAAAATCATACAAAATGCAATAATACGATATTTAAATGAAGCTCTCATCAAACATAATTTCAAATCAAAACCTGTCATATTTCAAAGCGAATAGTTGTTCTTATTGTAAAAACTTGATAATGGAGTAAATTTCCTGAAATTTATCTATTTGTAAGAGGTTATTTCAAAATAATTTGTTGAATGAAATTTAAAAACTGAATTAACTTGATTCACATAAAATTGAAAATTGCTCATGAAATAATCTACAAGAATGTTTGGTTTGATTCAAATTAACGTTTTCTTTTCTACAGTTACAAGAGAATTATTAGCGACGAATATCATTACTTTGAAGAATGATGAGAAAGAATACTTCAACAGGTACTTCACTTTGATCAATTAAGTTTAGAAATCTTTTAATTGAATAATTGTTTATTAACGTCATTTTGAAGCTACGCGTGGGCTAATGACGATGGGGTCAGGTAATTTCGAACCAGGGTCAAATGATGAGGACGACACATACAGTTCTGATACTATTTCTCCAAATTTCAATTTCAAGTCAACGTGAAGACTTGGAGCCTCCATAGTTTTTATGTGCGTCGGACCATTCTACGCGATAAGTCTTTTGAAAAACTAGGTTTCGAATCCAAGACTCGACAGAAATAACACTGTCTACAAATTCGCGACCATGACTACTTGGCTACCACGGCCACCAAATGAATGAGTAAATATTGAAGTAGCAAAGTTCAGCTATATACTCGAAGACTTTTGGCGATGGACTTAATTTGAACCATGGTCAAGTGACGAGGACAACACCTGAACCTTCTCTTCTAATTACTAAACCATACCAATAGGAGGACGTTTCAGCTCTCGACAGATTTAACATGCATCGCTCCCCTACATGGCGGGTCTTCAGTGGTTCTTGGCTCGAACTCATGACACGCCAGCCACGAGTCCATTACCTTGACCACGGCTGCCAAAGTCAAATGAAGACGACATTTGAACCAATAAAAAATTCTTTAAATTTTGTAAATTACTATCTGTCAATGAGGCTTAAAATCACACACACATTTAAAGTTTCGCCTACTTTATTATTCCGCGAATCTTTCGTGAAATCAAGACTTAAATATCCTCCCCCCCCCCCTCCTATCTTAACATCCTAGATCAGGGGTGTCAAACTCAAATGTAATTCAGGCCAAAAAGAAAAAGTTTAGGTTTAGGCGGGCCGCAAAAAAAAAAAAAAAAAAAAAATCAATGTTTATAGATACGTAGTTTATTTCGAATAATACATTATAATAGACATATAAAAAAAGAACAAAAAAATTCTAATGTCTTTATCCTGACACTTGACAAATCTTTTCTACTGCTATCTTTCCAATTTCGAGAGAGATTTTAAAAATTTCATTATGTGTGGGGATATATTAGCCGGGCCGTAAAAATGTTCGTTGTGGGCCGCAAGTTTGACACCCCTGTCCTAGAACAACCATCACAATTCATAACCATAACTAATCAGCAAGAGCAAACGTGAAAACTTCATATATTCCATTTTAAGCTATGAAACTAGAAACTAAGCGAGAAAAAATGTGAAACACGTTTTATACCGGAAAAAAATGGATCAACTCAGAGAAAAACTAGGAGTATAATAAAATACTGGCTGCTCTCTATAGGATAGCAAAGCCAGAATATAATATTAACGTTTCAGTTTTTTTATATCCGAAAAATTAACCCGAATTGGGGTCGTATTCTATCACACTAAGTGAATATGGCCCTAATCGCTCAGCTGCCGCTGCGGCTCCTTAGAAGAAATTGATGAAAGCAAAACTCAACACCAACAAGAATAAATAAAAATTCTGGAAAGTAATATTCCTTCAATAATCAAATATTTCATATGCAGGTATTAAGACAGGAATATATAAATATCAAATCCAATAACCCGTTACAGATATAAAAAATAGATAACCTAAGCACGAAACCTCGCCATTTCCCCAGACAATAAAACAAAAAGGCAAACAGCATATCCAATGACACGAGCCTTGGCCTTTTCTCGAGGAACATCATAATTAAACAAATTCACAGGCAGAAAAGTAAGTCATTATGAAGTCCCAGGAGCATTTGAGCATAAGGAGTAGTCGAAGGCGAATGAGACGTTCTTTTTTTCAATGTAGAACACCCTCGAAATCACTTGCGCAGCGACATGCATCGTTTATGCGTCAATTAAGAGGAAAGAGTTCTGGCGGTAAAAGAGCGTTACCATGCCTTGTCGCTCTCACCGAACCCGAAAACGTTCTTTTTCCAGGCGGCAGCCCGTTTTAACAGCGTTCGACAACGGAAAGCCGGTTGGATGCACCACTAACCCCAAGAGTAAAAAGATGATGGAAGTTGATGTTTGAATCATTTCTCTCGTCGTTTCATCTTTCGCTCGAGAAAACTGATGATGTCTCACGAGGACGGGACCAACAGTAAACTAGAAAACTGTTCATTTATGAAGGACTGAACGATTTTGTTGAAGGCTTCTACTGGCAAGAGACATTGGTTATAAGGCCATTTTTGGTTTTGTATAGTTAAGATAAAAAAAAAAGTAGACATCCTTTCAAATGACCTTTGGTTTAAAAGACATTAATCACGATATTTTGGTTTCCAGTCTTCCATTTTTTTGATAAATGCTTTTACTCAACTAAGCAATGGATGTTATTATGCTCGAACCCTTATTATGGCAATTTTTTCACAAACATTGTAATTAAGTGAATGAAAAAATGAAAACCTTTTATAGTAATGATATGATTTCAAAAAATCAATACTTATAATAAATGTTTTAACAGAAGCAAAATGCATGAGACTTATCCAAGTTTGATTTACGTCACACTCTGAAGCAACAAGAGAGTTATTGGTGACAGACCTCGTAATTTTTTTAAACCCATGGTCAAGTGACGAGGACAACGCTAGAGTTGGCACCCCCCCCCCTTTTTTTCCTCCTAACTTTCACACCCCACCAAACACGTGCCACGACAGATTAAACAACATGTACGGCGGGTGAAACGTATCTGGGGAAGAATTCAACGAGTGAAACACGCGACTCACTCTCATTGCTTTTATCACCTATTTTGTAGAATATTCAACGAAATTCAGTTTAATCAACTGAGGGTCAATTTTCGTATAAACCGCTTAAAAAAGATCCATAATAAGATTGAAAGCAAAATAATTAATCTCCAAATAAAATTAAAAGCAAAATACATTAAATTCATAAAATAATACAATACAAAAAATAACTGAAGTGAAGATAAAGCCAAATCAATTTAAGGGATACAAATTTACTAAAATCTGCGTTTCAACTAGACTTACCGTAGGGAAGAGTTGGGTGAGTGAGAGTGTTTTATTTGCTTACAGTATTGTTGACGACGGACTTCGTAATTATAAGCCACGGTCAAATAACGAAGACAACACCCGAGATGCCTTTTCCCACCTACCACTACACCAATGGGAGCACTTTAACCCACGACAAATTTAATGTGCATCGATCCTCTACTCGTGGGTCTTCAGTGGCACCGGGGCTAGAACTTATAACACGCCGGCCGCAATTCTATGGTCATGACCATTAGGTTATCGCGGCCTGGGGTCGGTTTGGAGTTAATTATGTAATATTACAGATGTGAGTGTATATTTCGTTCTAGATACAATTACATTCAACAACAATATTTTTAATATAATTTTCAGCTGAATAAATGGTCACAAAAATTTGAAAGATTTTTTTAAGGGAGTTTTTCAAATTCAGCACTCATATAGATATCATTCAAATACATTTTTCTTTTTCAATTCCTACTAATAGGTCACTCTCTCCCTATATAGATATTTATTCATCTATATATATCTTGTTCAAATTTTCAATCGTTAATAAAATACTTTCTATTCATCCATTCAAGTTCAGATACATTTTTTAAAAATTTTTAATGGATGACACTTGATGATAATACAATTTTTTCAAATATTAATTCATAAATTAAATTAAAAAATGATTAAATAGTAACAAACGAAAATGATAGTCCAACAGTATGCATAGAAAGGAAAATCGTTCGTTGTGCCCCTATAGCACAATGGATAGCGCGTTGGACTTCTAATCCAAAAAGTTGTGGGTTCGAATCCCAATTGGGATGGCCTAATTTCTGAGAATGTGATTTCTTTTTTACTATTATATTTTATTAGAATAATTAAATTTAATTAATGAATAAATAGTAACAAACAAAAAATAGTCCAACACCATACATAGAAAGGAAAATGGAAAAATTGCAAAGAAAATCACTATCTATTTTGTCCCTTAATATTGTGATTCCGTAATATGTATATACATATTTATATTAAATGTAACTAGTTAATAAAAAGTAACTAAAATAAAAAATTTCTTTGTTGACTTAAGTAAGAATTGACTTAAAAAAAAAAAATTTTCTGTTACTTGTTATTCAATAGTATATATACTTAGCACGGTATTTTACTAATTCGTACAATCATTTTTCTTCACAAGGTAACAAAAAATATGAAAACTATAAATAAATTTGAAAACTAATTCAACTACATTAATTATATTTAAAAGAAGGGACGACACAATTAAAATTAGAGCATCAAATATAACAAATAAGAAACGTACATGGGAATGCATTAAAAGGGAACCATAGTTGTTTTCCATCAAAAACCTTTAATACCTGGTAAGGTTCATTAACTGTTTTATCCTCAGAAAACATTTAGTTTAATATTTACAATATGTGTTTTTCGGTCGACTTGCCATACACATTAATTTTCCACATCCATAACAGTTAATATTGATCGAAAGAAACGACAAAGACGGTCATAAAATCTAGCCTTTATGGCCGTAAATTCTTAAGCAAAGAAAAAAAGAAACAAAATAATGGCAATACTCATAACGACATCGGCCAATGAAAAAAACGGTCTATGCATTACGCTATACATTTATACGAGATGCCGATTCCATTATTAAGTTTCGACCATTCAAACTAAAATTCCAAAAATAAATTGGGTACTCTAAACAAGCCACAAAATCACTATCGAAGTACGACCGAAACATGATACCATTTAAGCATTCCCATAGATGGCATAAGAAAAAATGAAAAGCCATTTTACCGTCTAGCTTTGAGGATTATGTTGTACAGTTGCTGATTCTGTGAGAGTTAGCGTTTGGACACATCTTATTTCTAATTCCTCTGATTACGGTGCATGATATTTTATGGTCTCAGCAAAGCACTTGAAAGTCTTGAGCATAAATGCTAATGACCGAAAGGGACCACAGCAGAAGCGCAGTGGAGTGGAAATCCTTTCCAGGAATTACCAGAGACTTGTGCAGCGGCGATCTTCAATTGATTAAATTGCTATTGTGTCAAGGATTCATTTTGAAGGTAATTTCACAGGTGGAGGAATATATTTTTACCCTTCTGAAATCGTCTATTTAGTCGTCAAATCTTAAGAATAATTGCAGTAATATAAAAGGAAGAAAGCTCTTTGATCCCTAATTTCAAATAATGCCCATGGAGGTTCTACCATGTAAGATAATACATATTTTCAAAACTAAGAAGTTGGGTGTAATCGCTGAATCAATCAGAAATACAATAGATAATTTCCCTCCTAAATTTTAGAAATATTTTTAGCATGGTTTTTGAAGAGGCCAAACTAGAAAATTTGCCGGAACGTCAACACTAGTATAAGAAAAATTTCGTTTTTAAAATAATAATTTCACATAGAATTTGCAATGTTCTGAAACAAAATTTGTATTTGGAGTTGAATGTTTCTTAATCAACATTTGGATAAGCATTTTAATTCAATTAAAAAAAAAGCGAGTATCCGAAACAAACCCATAAAAATAGAACAAAATTAAGAGATATTAAAAACAATTATGAAGAATCACCATTCGCTTGGCATACCGAACCAATTTTCGAGCTTAAGTACGAAAAGTAATATTGCAAACAAGAAAAAAATGAAGTGTAAGTCGATTAAAAATTTGATTCTGAAACTTCTTATTTCCAGGAAACTTTTTTTTATATCAAAAACTAGGACATGAGCCCCCACCCCCCACCCTTGAAAAAAAAAGAAAGAACTCTATTTCAATACACAATAGAAAAATTAAACTCAGCTTATACGTCTTGAAAATGATAAATGGAAAATATATAATAAGACTATTATATAAATTAAATTTAACAAAAGTATAACTTTGGTTAATAAATGTATGCACACGATGTTAATTGTATTTAATACATCTGTACCTTCATCAGTACAAAGTTCTTTATGTTCAAAACGAAAATCTGTTGCACATTCACTACCCCCATCTAGAAATCATGCAAAAAACAAAAGTAAATTATTTACTAGATACCGGATTCTTTTTCACTGCTATATTTTAGACAAGTTATTGCATGTAGAGCGGCGAGATTCTGTTCCTATTTGAACATCCGTAGATGATAGCACCCACGAACGACCAACTTACATGGTGCAACACACTTGTGTGTCTTTACTCGTATTTTATACATCTATCTATAATATTTTACTCTTAATTTTGTAATTTATACCCTACATTTTTAACAGGTAAAAATCATGACTAATTTATTATAACTTTCATGTTAATGGGTTGCAAATTTTTTACGTTCTTTTAAATCTTTCGCATGCCCTTTCACGTTGCCCACGCACCCCCTTCCCAATTAATTATAATTTGTCACGGACCCCTCAGCAGTCACAAGGACCCCGGGGATCCGTAGGAATCACTTTGGGAGCTTATGGATTAGAAGTTACGTTAAAATATGCTGTTTTCTGTGATAGAGAAATTAATCAATACATAGTTATCACTCAGAAAAGATGTTTTGAGTAAGAGTTTTATTTTTTTCACGGAAAACAAAATCTTAAGTTAATCAGTAAACGAGCCAATTAAAAATCATTAGTAAATGTTAATAAATATATTTCAAATGACAAAAAGTATTATTAGTTTTCGAGAAGAGAGAAGAATGTGCTTTAGATCAATTAATATCCTTTTCATTCTTTTATTAATATAAATAATAGATAAGTAGAAATATCACACTCACACACTTGTCTGTCCTTAACTTTTATCAATCCAAAATAAATTTTAAAAATAAATAAGACAAAATTTACAATAGTTATCCAATACAGTATTTTATCTTAGTTACAGTTAGCATAATTTGAAAACTAAAATTGACTCATAAAAACAAAAGATAAGTTATTTCAAAACTGTGCGATACCTTTATTAAGGCAAGAACATAAATAATGACTGTATTGAAATCATGTGAAAACTTTTCACACGCACACCGATAACAAACAGCGAATTTATCTCAAAACTTAACTCCTTTCTTTAAGCTGAAAGGCATGGAACGAGTAATTTGTGTTCCAGTTGTCTAACCGTGAACACAAGCGAATCCAATTTTGAAAGAAAATTACACAAATCCGGCTTTAGATATGTGTGCATCACGAAGGAAAACATCATTAGAAAAAGTTTAATGTTACTTCAAACATCAATGTTGACTGTAATCCGTAAGTACGGGGAAATAAGCCTTTATATATATTATTAATTTCATGGAAAAGGAGAGTATAATATTTATTTAAATTCTTAATTATTCACATTGATATTAGCTTCGACAAAATATTCCTCGAATCAACAATAAAATGGCTAACGTCTATATTAAATTCTTGATTTGACTGTACATTAACATTGCACTTAAAAGCTACATTGGCTATTAGCGAAGGACTTCGTGATTAACAACGACCTCAGACCTACCACTTTTAAGTACTGATGGCAACATCTGAGCTGACATCCCACTCTCTAAACTTCCACACCACACAAACATGAGACCTTATCACACGTACAAGTTTGGAGCAATTTTCCACCTAATTCCGAACAATTTCTACCTAGTTGCTATAGCAACGGCTTCGAACAACTTTCCCCCAGTGAGCTGAAAAAGTTGTTCCAAGCAAAAGTTGCTTGAAATTGCAGTCAATGGGGTTCTTTGGCGCCCTAAGTTATAAACAAGAAGGCGGTAATGATGGCAGCTTCGGTTTCATCAAATGCATTAGAAATGGCGTATAATGTTTTAAACAAAATGGTGCTCCATTTCTGTTTACGCCCATCAACAAAAGCGCGAGCGAAATAAAAGAAATATAGGATGTTCGTTTTCCGAAGCAAAAAAATCGGCGAGTATTTTTTCATAGTAAAGATAGGGCGCGGCTGATGTCAGAGCATGTCATTTTGCTTACGACAACCCTTCACCCTTAGCTGCGTAAAAAATTGTCCTAAGGCTTAGGACAACCTTTTTAGGAAACTTATTTGGAGCAACCGCTTAGAACCTAAGCGGTTGCTCCAAATAAGAGTGTGTGATAGGGCCTTTAAAGCAGATATTTAGGCCGGTCTCGCACGAGACAACTTTGCACTGGGCAACGCGTTTCCTTTCATTTTTCCTCTGGTGTAAAGGAAGGAGATACTTCTTTTCACACGCAAATATAAAGCTGACTGAAAAAGGAGTGCTGTAGTGTTCACAATCTCATCGCTACAATGATTGAGTCCGAAAAAGCAATAAAAATCTTTCTCCATTTTCAATACACAAGTAGCTGCATGTGCAGAGCGTAGCTTCCACAATATCCTTTCAGTTGAGTCGACTAGTGGGGAAGAGAACGTGGTTTTCGAGAGTTTCACCACAGGGAATGCCAGTTGGATACGTGTGAAGGGACCAAGGCGATTTCTATTCAAAACCAGCTCCCGACTGTCTGCTTCTTCTATTATATGGGGCACAAATTGACTCGTGTGAAAGGGCCCTTAAATGGCATTAGGACGTGAACTCCTTGACAAAACAACGTCGGTTATGAATTCACAAACATGACCTTCGGCTACAGAGGACATATTAAAAATTCTTCATTTTATCAATATAATGTTACCATAAGAAACGGCAGCAATAATAGTATTTTTGAATTTTTAATAAAACATATTTTAATATTGCAGCTATTTCTATGTTTCGAGTTTCAATAAATACAATACAAAACTACAAAGGCCTTAATTGAACATATTTGGTAGAATTTCCAAAAATTTTGATTTGATAGAAAAAATCAACGGATAATCAGACATTCCAGAGCGTTGTAACATTCCCCACTGTAGATCATC